CCTAAGAATCCTGGTGACAAGAAGCCTGTCAAAACTGAGACCTCCCCAGTGGCTCCGAGGGCAGGGTCACAGCAGAAAGCACAGCCCCAGCCGCAGCCCCAGCCGCCGCAGCCACCACATAAAGTCAACCAAGGACTGCAGGTCCCCGCCGTGTCCCTTTATCCTTCCCGGAAGAAAGTGCCCGTCAAGGATCTCCCACCCTTCGGTAGGTGATAAGCTCATGTCCCCTTTCGGTGCTATTCGCTGTCATGTTTTTCAGGTTAGGGGGAAATGCTTGTCCTGGATAACTTTGTCTAATACTCTTGAGTCTCCCCCTGATTATTATCTCTTAATAAAGCCTTGATGTTTAGTAAGTTAAACTTTACTTGTGTCAGTGGAAGGTACTGATTTTACAGAGTATCTCATTTAATCGTGCTCTTCACTCAGGAGGTGAGCTTTGCTCATGGTGTCTACTCAGCAAGCTCAAAAATATCTCCATACAGCCAAATTATTTTATGAATAAATATATGAATGAAAGAAAACAATGTTAATAAAAGAAAATTCTATTTAAAAAAAAAAAAAGGATAGCACCCAGCCTGTATGGCTCAGCAGTTGAGTTTCGACCCAGGAACTAAAAGGTCACGGTTCAGTTCCTGGTCAGGGCACATGCCCGGGTTGCAGGCTTGATACCCACTATGGGGCGTGCAGGAGGCAGCTGATCAATGAGTCTCTTTCATCATTTATATGCCTATCTCCCTCTCCCTTCCTTTCTGAAATCAACAATTTTTTTTTAAAATCTCACTTTCAAAGTGATTTTTGAAAAGATTGTATTAAAACATCAAACACATGAGTTAAAATGAAGGATTAGATCTTTGTTAAATTTCATTGCTTCCTTTTTAATGAATTCTGTTAAGAACATTAAAACTAGCAGTTTACTGAGATAGTTTCAGTATATAATGCTTTCCCAAATATCTTTTTGTTGTTCAAAGTAAGGTAATTGAGAGTGCCTCATGCTGGGGTCCAATCCCAGCGGGTCCAGGGGTCCCCAAAGGTGTGGACGGAGTCGGCGAAGAAGGAATGACACGAAGACAGCCTTCAGTTGATCAGCAGCCTAGTCAGGACCTCTAGCCAGGATCTCCAGCCAAAGTTCTGGTCGGAGTTCTGGTTAGGAACTGATCAGGATCTGATGAGGATCTGATGTTTATTGTCTTGTTACATCCATATTTATACCAGCCGATTTTAATCCTGTCAATTTCTATTACAAAGGTTAGGGCGTTTCTTATCTCCATTCCAGGGAGTAAAGATTATGTAGCTTAACTACCCGCCTGGCACTTAATCAAGGGGTTGTATCCCCTCCCTAACCTCAGGGAAAAATCCCCACCTGGGGAAACAACCTTTCTCGGAGAGGTGACCTTGGTTAAAACACATGGCGCTAAAGAGAGCAAACATATTAAGAACAATATGCCATATATGCCAGGTCCCTTGAAACATATGCTGTGCAGATGTTTCTTTCCTGCAGCGACTGTGTCAAGCAGCAAGGATGGACTGGCTCCCGGCAAATTCCCCCTTTTTTGTTTTTTAAATGATAGCGCATGCAAATCAGTGGCCACCTCTCAGATTGGGCTGTTTAAGACTTGGAAGAAGACTGGCAAGTAATGACAATAAGCATAGCTATAAACATAGTGGATGAAGCGCACAAGGAGCCCCGTTCCTTAGGAGGTTGCCGGCCTCTTCAGTCAAGAGATTTCAGCTGTCCTCAAGTTGTTGGTTTGATTGTCTTTGTTGGTCTGGCTAGCGGGTGGCATCACTGGCGACGGCTTCCCGATGTGTCAGCGAGTTGAAGGGCTGCATCAAAGGGTCCATCAGGGCCGTGCTTGATGGTGGCGTCGGCGTCCAAGGAGGAGCAAGCTGTGTTCTCTGGGTCAGCTGTTATGGAGGATGGAGGGTAGTAGAGAGAAAAAGAAAAGAAAGCAAAAGAACTACAAGGCATGGAAGCGTTCAGAAAAAAGAGGAAGAAGAAAGGGAAGAAGGCAGCATCCTGCTCCAGCCCTTTCTTTCAGCTGCCCCTTTCCCTGTGGTCCAAGGTAGAAATGGGAAACAAGTCCTGTTGCAGTGAAAGGGAAGCTGCTGTCAGCCAGGTCTCTTATCTAGGTACTGATCTCAGCTGGACCAAGTCTCTTTCTGTTCCGGATCTGAGCTGGGCCAAGTCTCTATTCATTATCTGGGTCCCTATCTGGGCTGGACATGGGAAGCGAGAAGCAGCCATGGGGGAAGGAGACCTTCCTCAGAAGGGGCGAGTGTTCAAGCCCCTGCACCATTGGGGGGGTGAGGATCTGTGCCCCACCTCTGTTGAACCCCAAGTTCTCTCCTACTGGCCCCTCTGTGACTGTGCCTGTCTTAGGTTGTTCCTCCCTGAGGAATCTTACCCGTCTTTGACTAACCAGCCAAGCTCCGGGGCCAAGCAGGGGGGTCCCCAAAGGTGTGGACGGAGTCGGCAAAGAAGGAATGACATGGAAACTGGGTTCAGTTCATCAGCATAGCGAGGTTCTCCCTCCAGGATCTCCAGCGAAGTTCTGATTAGGAACTCCAACCAAGTTCTGGTGCCATGTTCTCTCACTAGGTTCTCCAGCCAGGTTCTCCAGGTTCTCCTGCCAGGTTCAGTCACCAGGTTCTTTAGCCAGGTTCTATCCAGGTTCTTTTGCCATGTTCTGTCTAGGTTCTCCAGTGAAGTTCTATAGCCAGGTTCTGTCCAGGATCTTTTGCCATGTTCTCTCTAGGTTCTCCAGTGAAGTTCTATAGGCAGGTTCTGTCCAGGATCTTTTGCCATGTTCTCTGGCTAGGTTCTGGTTAGGATCTGATGAGGAGCTGATGAGGAGCTGATGAGGAACTGATGAGGAGCTGATGTTTATTGTCTTGTTACATCCATATTTATACCAGCCGATTTTAATCCTGTCAATTTCTATTACAAAGGTTAGGGCGTTTCTTATCTCCATTCCAGGGAGTAAAGATTATGTAGCTTAACTACCCGCCTGGCACTTAATCAAGGGGTTGTATCCCCTCCCTAACCTCAGGGAAAAATCCCCACCTGGGGAAACAACCTTTCTCGGAGAGGTGACCTTGGTTAAAACACATGGCGCTAAAGAGAGCAAACATATTAAGAACAATATGCCATATATGCCAGGTCCCTTGAAACATATGCTGTGCAGATGTTTCTTTCCTGCAGCGACTGTGTCAAGCAGCAAGGATGGACTGGCTCCCGGCAGCCTCATAATATTTACTTCGTAAAACATTTTAATGTGACTCTATTTCTAAATTCTTTCCTTTCTTTAAATCACCTTATATTGGCATATATTACCCTTTTTTTCCCCCAACCCTCATTTTACTTGCTCACACTTGGCACTGGATCATTCCCTTCTGTCTGTCAACCTCCCTCCATGGTCTTTTACCTACTTTCTTGGGTCGTTTTCTCCATTCTCTTTCATCTATTTATTTGAGCAAATATTAGCTGAATGGAATTCCTTAGTGCTCTTTTATTTGCTTTCTTATTGCTTCCTTTTAGCTCTTGACTGTTGACTTTTCTCCCATCATTCCACTTCACCTGAGCTCTAACATATCCAATAACATCAAAATACCTGTTTCCAACTCACACCTGACTTCTTAGTATTAAATATTCTTTTTATTTATTGTTGTCTAACATATTGTTGAATAAAGATGGTGATTACATTAAGATTTAGACCCAAAAACAGTTCATCTTTAGACTCTGGCAGCTGTCAATCAGAAACCAACCTAGGGATATCTATGTCTTCTATAAGCTTATAGTCTATACTGTGAAGAGTACAAAGACCATTGAAATTGTAAACAGCTTGAATCTAAATGTAATATTAAATCTTAACACAAAAAACGTTTTATAGTTATTAATGTTATTTCTTTTCAGTCTTGAAAATACATATTTGTTCGTTTATTTTTTTCCCTTAAAGGCATAAACTCTCCACAAGCTTTAAAGAAAATCCTTTCTTTGTCTGAAGAAGGAAGTCTGGAACGACACAAGAAACAAGCAGAAGATACGATATCAAATGCATCTTCACAGCTTTCTTCTCCTCCCACTTCTCCACAAAGTTCTCCAAGGAAAGGTAGATTAAATTACTTATTATTTCCCTTTATAGCAATCTATACATTTCAGCTATAATAAATTTCAGAGTTATATATTAGATCATTTTTACATTGTAGAGTCATCTAAAATGATCTAATATATAACAACCAATGGGTTTTTTCTTCTCAGTTTACAAATTTGGAAGAATTTTTGGTATGTTTAATCTTATAGTAAGTAGCGTTAAACTTATAACTACATAAAGCCTTCGAAAAATAAGTTTAAGTTTTTTATTGATTGTAAGTGTGGAAATAATTTTTTTGTGCTAAAAGTTGTTCTAACTTAAATATGATTGTATAACAATTACAGAGTAGAAAGCTTTAAAAACATAAGAAAAACTAATACTTCCTGATTTATTTTTTCATTGTATTAACACGGGTCTTGATTACCTTCTTTGTTGCTACCTCTTTTTATTTTTAAAAAGGTTAGTTTTTAGGCAGTCAATCTCTTCTTAAGTTGATGCTTTTCTTATATTAGAATACAGTAGGTCCTCGGGTTACGTCGGAGATCCGTTCCTACGGCGTGACATACCTCGATTTTCGCCGTAAGTCGGAACCCACCTACATAAGCACCTACGTCACTCACATGAAGCACATACATAGCAGTAATGAAGTGAAACAGTAAAAAACATTTAAAAGAAAGATAACAATTCCTGAACTTTACTTGTGGTAAATAAATAATAAAAAACATAAAGCACATATGTACATACGTCGAAATGACAGAACTTTTTTTTTTAATAAATACTGTAACTGGGAGATGGCGACTTAACCACGAAACGTAGGTCGAGTCCAACGTAACCCGTAACCCGAGGACTGTCTGTAATTGTAATAGATCTGCCACAAAACCCCCCAGGTTACTTTCTCTGCCCTTTTTTTTTTTTCCTTCTCATATGTATCAAAACTCATACTGAACAATGAATTCTGGGTTGCAAAAGAGGCTTTATTTTTAGCAACTGTCTACCCTTTAATTGAATGGGTATAAACTAGTCGTAAATGGCTAAGAGAGTTTTCCCTAGAAGGAGACCAAAAAGATTAATAAATTGTGAGATTTCCCTGAATTGACAAATACCTCTTGATAGATATTTCAGACATCTGTGCATTTTGTGTGGGCACCAGCCTCTACTGTTCTTGTTAAAGGGAGCTATCTGAATTCTTTTCTCATCCCGTTGTCAGGTGGCAGTGGCAATCAGCTGAGATCTTTTGGCTCCGGGCAGTTGGACTTAACCAGTTCCTCCTCTTCTCTTGGAAGTGAGAACAGTAACAAGAATAACAATGCACCATGGACCTATGGGATAGGTGGGGTTTATAGAACCAAAGACGGGTGGGAAAGAGGAATCATCTCAGTAAAGGAGAATGGGAGCATTCCTCTAAATGTCAAGCGCTTCATCTGAGTGATTATTTTCTAGAGATTTTTTTTTTTTTTTTTTTTTTTAGCAGACTGTTTAGGGAAGGTTTTAAACCTTGTCTGTCAGAACTTTAGTGTGGTTTATAAAAAGACATTTCCTAGATGAACACGTTAAATCTTGTCAAGACCTGTGCAACCTTTAAAAAATAAATCAGGAATTAACAAGTTACTCAAAGGATGGGGAAGTACTATTTAGAGAATAAATGAGCAACATTGAGGTGTCCTAGATTTAACTTTTTTATCAGGTAAGTGGCATTGAAAAATTGCGTTGCATACATATAATCATGTAAAGTCAATATTTTAAGTAATATGAGATCCTTAGTGATGTTGTAAAAGAAATGAGTACTGAGAAAGAGGATTTGGGTTTGTTTGTTTTTCATTAAAAATATCAAGATGTTTTTTGTGACTTTCAAAATTATTTTTAGCAACAAAGGGAAGTTAAGGGTTCTTCAGGTCAAAAAGACAGACATCTGTTTAGACATTTTAAAGTGATGGTCTAGGGAGAAAATGGAGATTTGTACATTACGTCTTCTAAAACTACTGGCTTTTATGCGATTTGTCCAATATATTGTTAATCTTAAAAAGCCAAATGACAGAAATCCAAAGATTTTTTTCAGGTTTTATTGCTTTTTCTTATTTAAAATTATAAATATTTCCTGTTGAATTATTCTATGCCATAAAGTTCTAAAAATTGGAAACAAGATTACTACTTTGCAGATTGCAAAAAATATACTTTAAAATCTGATCATGGTTATTCTTCATGGTTTTTTATATAGACTAACAATAGTTGAATTTGTAGTTAAGGGAGCTAAGAATAGTCGACTAGCACCATGATTTCTGCATTATTTCCTGGCTCATATAGCAGTATTTTCTTTTTTCCTCTCTAAACTTTCAGTAAGCAAGTCAGGCTTCATTTGAGTATCAATTTACTTTGTCTCAGTCACCTGTTCTTCAAGTAAAATGCATTTTTCCCCACTCCAGTGGCGATAGCTTTGGCCTGCATTTGGTTTTTGCTTCTCTTTGGAAGACTTCGGTTCTGTGTTATAAACCTACAGCGTCTAATTAATGTGGTTGTATTTCCCATGCAGGCTATACTCTGGCTCCCAGTGGTACTGTGGATAATTTTTCAGATTCTGGTCACAGTGAAATTTCTTCACGATCCAGTATTGTCAGCAATTCCTCCTTTGACTCGGTGCCCGTCTCGCTGCATGAGGAGAGGCGCCAGAGGCATTCTGTCAGCATCGTGGAAACAAACCTGGGCGTGGGCAGGATGGAGAGGAGGACCATGATCGAGCCCGATCAATACAGCTTAGGGTAGACGCCTTTTCTTTAGTGTCCTTTTACATCCTGTCTTTCATCTTTTAAAAACAAATCCTTTCTCTAGATGTGTATGTCCATTTATTTTGCATAATGCCTAAGAACTTTTCTCCCAGCCCAGTTACTAATTTTCACAGTATCTGGATTAGTAAGTACCCTGCTGTTTTTGTTGTGCTTTTCAGAGTTAGCTTTATTCTCATTGGAACATAGTGGTTCTGTGCTCAAGGCAGAGGGTGACTTTCCGCTGTATCTCAGTTCTTTCGTATGAGCTTGCTTCTTGAAATAATCAGATTATATTGAGCCTTTTAAGAAATATGGTCCTTTATTATAAGCAAGTACTTGTTCTTTCCCGCTATATTTATTTTATGGTGATGACAAGGTGAGAAGATTGGGCATGGCAGAAATGGCCCCATTATAGTGCATAGCAATTGAGTGGTGCTTTCATCATCTTTTCCCTGGGATGGAAGAAAGCCCCTTTCTAGGAAAAAGTATTTTGGTCTTATCATAGATTATCAGTTAACAGTCTTGCTTTTGCTTTTTCGTGTCTTTTGACCACTTAGGTCCTACGCACCCATGTCTGAGAGTCGGGGCTTATATGCTACAGCAACAGTAATTTCTTCTCCAAGCACAGAGGAGCTTTCCCAAGACCAGGGGGATCGCGCTTCGCTGGATGCAGCCGACAGTGGCCGTGGGAGCTGGACCTCGTGCTCAAGTGGTTCCCATGATAATATCCAGACCATCCAGCACCAGCGAAGCTGGGAAACACTTCCATTCGGGCACACTCACTTCGATTATTCAGGGGATCCTGCAAGTGTCTGGGCCTCAAGCAGCCATATGGACCAAATGATGTTTTCTGATCATAGCACAAAGTATAACAGGCAAAATCAAAGCAGAGAGAGCCTTGAACAAGCCCAATCCCGGGCAAGCTGGGCCTCTTCCACGGGCTACTGGGGAGAAGACTCGGAAGGGGACACAGGCACAATAAAGCGGAGGGGTGGCAAAGATGTCTCCCTTGAAGCTGAGAGCAGCAGCATGCCACCTGTGACCACAGAGGAGACCAAGCCCGTCCCCATGCCTGCCCACATAGCTGTGACACCAACTACTGCAAAGGGACTTATTGGTAAGCTTACTGGGGAGCTCGTCCTGTCTGGATCGTGGCTTTAATCTAACTTATTTCAAAAGTAAAATCGTGTTTGTGGTTCTTTTCCTCATTGCTGTATAGGGCTTGAAATGGATAGTGGTTAAGAGCGTAGGTCCTGCGGTCGGGTACATATCTATATTTTCTAGCACAGTGTACATTCAGTCCTTCTTGGCCATCAAAATCTGTAGGTTGTCATATGGTTATATTCTGGTCTCATATTGATCTTTTTATCTGAAAATTATCAGGAAGGGTGGCCATTCTCTGTAGAGGAAGAATTTTTATTTAATTGAAGCTTTTGAATATTTTATTATTCTATTTCGTTCCCTTGAATTGTAATTAGAACTTTATACTTTGCATATTGAAAAATCTTCTATTGATTTTGTTATGCAGACAAATTGTTTCTGTGCTCAGCAAATTCTCCCTGTGCATTATGGAACCAAGGAGAGGGTGCTAAGAGATAATGTAATGAGGAAGAGCTTAGGAGCCAGGCGGATTGGGGTTGGAATCACTATTTTGCTCCTTTTCTAGCTTTGTGGCATTGGGGGACGCACTGGACTATGTCTGTTTCCTCATCTGTAAAATGAGTTTAGTGATTTCTACTAATACAGTTGGTGTGAGGGTTAAAGGAATTCTCTGAGAAGCACTTAGAACAGCTCCCAGAGAGTAATTGATAAGTGCATGGAAGATGCTGCTGTTTTGCTATTGCTATTTCTATTGTAATGTTGTATCTGGGTGAATTTTCTGGGGCATATTTAATGTCTATAGAATTGAAGGGTAAAAACACATCATAGAATATAGAATGAGAGCCCGGCCATTGTTGCTTAGTGGTTGTGCATTGACCCATGCACCAGTAGGTTGCTAGTTCGATTCCTGGTCAGGGCACATGACTGGGTTGCGGGCTCCATCGCCTGGGGAAGGGGGCGTGTGCAGGAGACAGTCTATTGATGTTTCTCTGTCATCGATTTTTCTATCTCCCTCTCCTTCTCTCTCTCTGAAATCAATAAAAACATATTTTTTTTAAAAAAAAATATAGAGTGAGAAATTCTGGAGTGTAATCATTACAGACATTTTTATTAGTTGGGAAATTGTAATTATTTATCATGTAAATAGTCATGGGTAGATGTCAAACTTAATATGCTTTCCAGATGAATAAGGAGATAACTATTAATACCTATTCTTAGGTTGCAGATTTTAAAGCACTTTCTTTTAATAAGCTAATACTCAGACTTATTGATGCAAAGGAAAGAAAAATGATGTTTTAGTTCCTAATAGTTGAGTCTAGAAAGTTCAAGAAAATAAAACTTTGCCTGGCTGGTGTTGCTCAGTGGTTGAGCATTGACCTATGAACTAGGGGCCACAGTTGGATTCTCAGTTAGGGCACATGGCCAGGGTGCTGGCTGGATCCCCAGTGAGGGGCATGCAAGAGGCAGCCGATCAATGATTCTCTCTCATCAGTGATGCGTCCATCTCTCTCTGCCTTTTCTGTCCTCTTTGAAGTCAATAAAAATAAAATTTTTAAATGGGAAAATAAAACTTTGATTTTACTTGCCTTTACAGATTTCTTTTTTTTAAATGTATTTTATTGATTTTTTTACAGAGAGGAAGGGAGAGGGATAGAGAGTTAGAACATCGATGAGAGAGAAACATCGATCAGCTGCCTCCTGCAAACCCCCTACTGGGGATGTTGCCCACAACCAAGGTACATGCCCTTGACTGGAATCGAACCTGGGACCTTTCAGTCTGCAGGCTGAACGCTCTATCACTGAGCCAAACCAGTTAAGCCTTTACAGATTTCTGTTCTAGGTCAGCCGTGGGCAAAACTACGGGCCCGTGGGCCGGATCCCGGCCCGTTTGAAATGAAATAAAACTAAAAAAAAAAAAAGACCGTACCCTTTTATGTAATGATGTTTACTTTGAATTTATATTAGTTCACACAAACACTCCATCCATGCTTTTGTTCTGGCCCTCCGGTCCAGTTTAAGAACCCATTGTGGCCCTCGAGTCAAAAAGTTTGCCCACCCCTGTTCTAGGTTATGAACATTAATAACAGGGTTTTAAGAGAAATACATACCTTACACATAGTTTTAGAGTTTTTAAATTTGCATCATTTTTGGTTCCACTTTTCCAAT